AATGCTGAAAAAAATGTAACTGTGAGTTAACTTATAGCTAGGTAAATATCTATATAAGTATAGGAATTGAAAACATTAACAATGAACACCCTATAGGGGAAACCTGGGTAAGACGGGACACCTAATACTTAAACTCATATAAAATAAACAATTTATAACTTATCATGTTAAAAATGTTTCCAAGTCATTACGAATATTATGACGTACCTTAATATGCAATAACAATTCCAAAAACTGTTTTAGGAAAATATTGAGAATTTTTTTAACTGTTTTACTCAAAGTGTCTCGTCTTACCCTGTTATCGAGGTAAAATGGGACACGACATGTTCAAGATGGGACACATATAATAATATAAGAAATATTCATTATTATTTTTTAATAATATTGTATAACATAATTAATATAATATAAAATAACAAATTATAAAACAACTCCAAACATTGTATCTTATTACTTTAGGTATAATAATAAAATAACGGTAAATTAGAATTTAAATTTAAACTTTCATAAAATAATAAAAACAATTCCTTCCAAAATCAATCCTAATGACTTTTAGGTTACACATAATATAAAATAACTTTTTCAAATATTTTATCCTATTAGGTACTTTAGGTATAAAATTATAATTTAAAATTTATAAAGAAATAAAAAACAATTTGTTTCAAACTTAATCCTAATGACTTTAGGTTATACATTTTATATAAGCAAAATAACTTAAGATAACTAAGGAACATCTAATTGTTAATATTTACTTGCCAGGAACACAAATTTGTTTTATCACAGTAGGTAAAATAGTCTATTGTTTACAAATATCACAGACATGATAAAGTTCGTCATCATTATCGTCCTCGCCAGCACATGAACAATGTGCCCACTTTTTACATCTTACACATTGAACCCATCCTTCATTTGACATCATGTATGTTTGACCACAGTATAAACATTCAGTGTCATCATCTTCATCAGATAGTTTTTCTACTAGTTTTTTTTTTGTTTTAGGCTTCTTAAATAATTTTCTGTTAACGGATTTTTCTTTTTTAATTAATTTAATCGTTTGATTTAGTTGCTGTTGTTGTAACTCGTTTTTATATGGTGAATCTGTAAGAATTGCAGTTTTTCCTTTGGCCCTAGTATTTCTCTTCTTTTATTGCTTATTCTCATAACTTTGTTGAGGAATAGGAATAACATCAATTGGTGAGACATGTGGAAATGAAGTATTTTTTTTTGTGACTGGAGTAATTGGAGATATGAGGTTTGATTGACCCCCTTCAATTTCTTCAGTGCACATTATATTGTTAGTTTGTGTTGGATTGGATATTTGAATTGGGGATACAACTGTTTTCAAATTTAAAATATTTTCTAGCTCTTTATCTTGTGATACTTCTATTGTTTTCATTGGTTCAACATTTGTAGTATCAGAAGCAACAAAATCTGAATCTTGGAATATATCAGGATTAAAAGGAAAAATACCTGTTGACTTGAATGAATTCATAGCCGTTGTCATTGTAGCAGCTTTAGCAAAAGCTAATCCAAAAATTTCTGCTACATGCTTTAGATTAACTACTTCACCAGGATGACTGCGAAGCCAGTTAGTTATCTCCTTATCGTAGTAAACACTAAGAGGTTTCATTAAACCTACATCCAGTGGTTGTAGTCTGTGTGTACAGTGTGGAGGAAAACATAAGAGAATGACTCCATTATCACGTGCTAAATTGATGAGTTCAATGTTTTTGGTATGAGTGGAGTGTCCATCTGTGAACAAAATAAATATAATATTTATTTAGGTATTACAATTAAATAGTAAAATAATTAAAAATGTAATAGGTAGGTACCTACTTTTTTAAATTAACTAACCTAGTAATAATAATACTGGAGTATCTTTTGATGAATTTGAAAAGGTAATGAAGTTTTGTAACCAACGTTCAAATATAGATTTCTGCATCCAGCCACTAGGGTGAAATTCTACATAAGAACCTGGAGGAGCATTTCTCATGAAGTCCATATTATGCCGCTGTCTGGGAAAAATAAACAATGGTGGCATATATCTTCCAACAGAATTCATGCACATTTCGACTGTCACAGTTTCACCACGTTCAGCAGATGTTATCGAACCAACTTGTTTTCGGCCTTTGGTGGCTATTATTTTAGCTTTGCTTTTGGGGACTGAAGAAATACCAGTCTCGTCACAATTGTATATCCGATCTGGAGTGAATTTATATCTGTCCATAAGCTCACCCAGGAGTTTGAAAAATTGCATTACAACAGGCTTATTAAAACCCATTGCACGTGCTGCCGATGTGGCTTCTGGTTTTCTAAGCGACAACTCTGGGTGTCTTGACATAAACCCCTTATACCAGTCATAACCAGCTTCTTCTTTTATGTGAGAGAAATTGTGTTTCTTGTTATTTTTTACAGCAAGTTGATAGGCCAACTTCCTACAATCAACTGTACTAAAACCAAAGAGACGGCCTTCCATAAGTTGTAGGTATGAAACTAGTTCCTTTTCTTCAGCAATGGTAAAAACGGTTGGTATGGGTCCTAATGAATTTTTTGATGCAGGATCATATTTAGCATCTTTACTTAATTTTTTTACCTATAAGCCAAAAATTAAATTCTTTCAGTTCTAAGACACAGTACAATACAATGTGTAAATATTAGTTTGGCTTGTTGTAATCAATTTACTGAAAAGTAATTTTTATGTACAACACTATGATAGTAGGAAAACTATATGCTTTCATATAGTTGAGTAAATGTCTGACTAATGTAATAAAAAATATTAAAATATAGGTATTTACCTTTCTTAGTAATGTACTTCTAGGTACATTAAAGGTTGCTGATGCTTCTCTGTAGGTTTGACTTTTATTTATTACAGCTAAAACAGCATTGCTCATGGAGTCAGAATCCCAGTTTTGTCTAGTTGTCACTCTTTTTCTTATTCTTGCCATGTTTCTATATAATAGGTACCTTAATAATTATTTTAACATAATAATATATAACTATTATCAATGCTTGGCAACAAATGTAGAAAGAATATTTAATGAGAAAAACTTGAGATTAAAAATACCAGTATACTGATATTTAACTATTACAAAATAGTAAATACCAAGTGAGGACAAGATGGGACGTCCCATTTTACACCTAATAAAATATCCCATCTTGCCTCATTGTGCTTTATATTACTTAAGTACATTTAAAATCAAAAATATCAATCGCAGTGTACTACAATTGAAACCAGCAAACGCGCAATAAAATTTACAACAATACTAGTGTACCGGAATAAAAAATAATTAAATATGTACTTACCCAACAACTTCGATGTAATGACGAAAATTTACATTGTCAAACGACTTTTTTTAAAATCATCTTGTTTTCGTTATCAAACATAGTTATCATTAATGTGAAACGTTAAATTAACAGTGTTACCAACACTGAAAATAAGTGTTCCCGACAGATATTGTGTAATTATGTTAGTTATTGAGATAATACTATGTCCCGTCTTACCCGATGTCCCGTCTTACCCAGGTTTCCCCTAAGCCTCTAAGAATCAATTGACATAATTTTTTACTGAAAACCATCCAATA